GCCTTCAGTTTTTGCCCATTTAGTATGATGTTGGCTCTTGGTTTCTCATAGATTACTTTTATCAGGTTGAGATATGGACCATCTATTCCAATTCTCTGTAGGGTTTTTATCATGAATTGGTATTGGACTTTGTCAAAAGCTTTTTCTGGGGCCAAGGAGATGACTCAGTGGAATAAGTGCTTCCCTGGCAAGCACAAGGGCCTGAGTTCAATCTCCAGTTCTGGGGGAAAAAAAAGGGTTTGTATGCATCTATTGAGATTATCATGTGTTTTTGTTCTTGGTTCTATTGATATATGGTTTATTGCATTTATGGATATGCATATGTTGAAGCATCCTTCCATTCCTGGAATGAATCGTACTTGGTCATGATGTATAGTCTTCTTAATGATTTGCTGCATTCTGTTTACTAGTATTTTATTCAGGATTTTTGCATCTTTATTCTTTAGAGAGTGGCCTGTAGTTCTCTTTTTCAGTTGGATTTTTCTCTGGTTTTGAAATGAGTAATACTTGCCTCCAGGAATGACTTTGGGAGAATTTCTTCAATTTCATTGAAGATTTTGAGAAAGAATGGCATTAAATCTTCTCTAAATTTCTGTAAAATTCTGCTGTGAATACATTGGAACCTGTGCTTTTCTTTGTTGTAGGATTTTTATTACATTTTCAATTTTGTTTCTTGTTACTGGGTTTTTCAGAGTTAATATATTTTCTTGACTAAGTTTTGGCATTTCATATGTATCTAGAAAACTGTCCTTTTCCTCTGTATTTTCCATCCTGTTAGGGTAAAGATTTTGGAAGTAGGTATTGATGATCTTCTGAATTTCTCTAGGGTCTGTAGTGATTTCACCCTTTTCATTCTTTATTGCATGGATTTAAGTTTTTTTCTTTCCTTTTCTTATTAGGTTGGCTACGGGTTTTATCAATTTTTTTTTTTTTTACTTTTTCAAAAACCAACTCTTTGAATCATTTATTCTTTGTATTGTTTTCTTCATCTCCAATGCATTAATTTCTGTTCTAATCTTTATAATTTCCTGCCTTCTTTGGGCTTTGGGCTTAACTTGCTCATCTTTTTCTAGGAACTTGAGCTACAGCATAAGATCATTTATTTGGGCTTGTTCTGTTTTCCTAATGTGCGAATTTACTGTTATAAATTTTCCTCTTAAGACAGATTTCATTGCATCCCACAGGTTTTGGTAAATTGTTATCTGCATTTTCATTTGATTGTAAATATTTTTTAATTTCTTCTTTAATTTCATCTGTGATCCAATATATAGGAAATTGTTTTTTAATTTCCATGTTTTAATGGAATTTTGTAGTTTCTTTTGTCAGTAATTTCCAGTTTTATTGCACTGTGATCAGATAATATGCATGGGATTATTTCAATTACTCTGCATTTACACAAGAATGTGCTGTGTGTTAATATATTGTCTATTTTGAAGAATATCCCATGCACAGCTGAGAAGAATATGTATTCTGTTTTTGCTTGGTGAAACACTCTGTAAATGTTGATTTCTTCATAAGTTTGTTTTAGTTCTGTTATTGCTTTGATTTTTCTTTTTTTCTTTCTTTCTTTTTTTTTTTTTTTTTTTTTTTTTTTTTTGCCTAGGCTGGTCTCTTTGTGATAGTGGCATGCTAAAATCCCCCATTACTATTGTATTATTGCTCACATGATTTTTTTGTGTGCATTAAAATTTGTCTTATGTAGGAGGGTGCTCCTATATTGAGTGTATGTATATTTATAATTATTATCTCTTCCTCTCGCAATTTTCCCTTAACAAGTATGTAATGATCTTCTTAATCTCTTTGGATGATTTTTGGTTTGAAGTTGCTAGTGTTAGCAACCAGGATAGCTACACCTGCTTTCTTCTGGTTTCCTATGGCATGAAGAGTTGTTTTCCATCCTTTGACTTTTAGTTTGTAGATTTCCTTTTGAGTTAAATGTGTTTCTTATATGCAGCATATTGTTGGATTTTGTGTCTTAATCCACTGTGCTAGTCTGTTTCTTTTGCTTGGTGAATTGAGGCTGGTTACATTGATGGTGATAAATGTTATATAGTGCCTTATCTTTGCCTGCTATTTTCACGTTATAAGTTCTGTACTGTCCCCTCTTTTTAATTGCTTTCTCTGTTTGGTGTTTTTTTTCCTATTGTTCTTGAAGCTATGATCACTTCTGTCTCTTTCTAGAATATCTGTCAGTACTCTTTGTAGGGTTGGTGGTATAATGCCTACCTACTATACATGAGGCCCTTAGTTCAATTCCCAGCACTGAAAAGAAAGAAGAAGAAGAAGAAGAAGAAGAAGAAGAAGAAGAAGAAGAAGAAGAAGAAGAAGAAGAAGAAGAAGAGAAATTTGATAGCTTAAGTGAATCATGCAGAAACATGAAAATAATATAAACTGCACATGCAAAATTGGCATAGACTAGAAACACAATTTTTAAAGTCAACATCCTAAAGATGATTCAGTGTAAATCATAATGGATTATTGGGAAATACTGACTTTGTATTGAGAGTTGGCAAGATTGACTTTTCATTTAGTTCCATCTAAAGACCTGGAAAAACAAGCTTATAGTAACTAAGAAAATAACAGATGAACTAAAAGTAGCTACTTCTAACTAGATGAAGTTGAACAGTCTCTTCAACCAGTCTTTCTAAAGAGTGATTTGAAGACTCCCACCATCAGTACCTTTCCAGAAATCTGTAAAGTAGCTGGTTTCTGAGTCTTTCCCCAAGGTACCCAGTCAGAGCCTGGGGAACATGCATTCTGGGTGTTGATGTACTATTTTAATTTAGACCTATGACATCCTCCAAACTCTCATGTTCTCATGAGAAGGGGTTTTGGAAGGTGACTGGATTACGTGGCTTTTAGCTGACTTGCTGTCAGGAGGCAGGTCTAGTAAGACAAGTGCAGGGTTGCTGCAGGTACAGCTTCCTTCCCAGACCCTCTTTTCACTCTCTGACTCCTTTTCTGTCCTGAGGAGAGTAGATCTCCTGCTCCAGGTCCCTGTGCCCCGTTGTCCTGCCTGGGAGCCCCAGGACTGAAACATGAATCAAAATAAACTTCTTCTCCTTTAATTTGTGGGTGTTGGACGTTGTATCTTAGCAATGAAAAAAGTGACTAAGATATGTTTCTACTGAATCCAGCAGTTATTGGTAAGGAAATATTTAGTTTATAACTGCTCCTGGGTAATATTATTTTCAGACCTGGGTTTGCAATTTACTGTACACTGTTTACATCTGTGTTTCTACACTATCACATTCACTGTGTCACACACAAGGGGTCATAGAACCTTGGATCCATCACTTCTTAGCAAGAAGACATCACAAAATAGGTTAAGATAGTAAGAGTTCTTAAGGAGGCAGGACCATTACCAAGAAACGCCCTGCTAAAACAATAAGTGTCATATTTTGAGCCTGCTTTGCTGATTTTTGCAAAGGGGATATAGCAGAGTAATAGTAATATCATGAGCATTGCCTAGACATGTAAAGAAAGCCCACATTACTATTGCATCATGAATCAATTTATGCCCAGAATTTTCCTACAGTTGGTTGGTTTCCTTTATTAGTGGGTATGTATATACATCAATACAATTCACACCATTTTTACCTTGTCACAAATATTGATGTTTCCGGTGGTTTTTGTATTTTTGTTCTATTGTCTTTTTGAAAGTATAAAAATAAACACACCTTTTCTAATGTAAAAGAAAGTGCTTTGTGATGTAAAGTTAACTTTATGAGAGACCATTGACTTAGCCTGGGTCCCTGCACTAGAACCCAACAGACTCAACTATAATGGAGTCGGTCATGCTGAAGATCCACCTCACTAACCCTCAACTAAGTTGATTGCTCCAAAGGACAAGAAGGTTGCCAAATCCACAAAGAGGCCAGTATCTCCTCCCCCGCCATAAGGAAGTCCTCTCTGCTTTACTGCTTACTAGCAAAGTAGCCTGATGGTAACCCATTCCTTTTTTTTTAATTTTTATTTTTTTATTATGCTGCTTAAGCTACTTTATAAAAACAAACTGTTCTATGGTCAGTGGAGCACCTCCCTATTTTTAGATGAAACACTGTTTCATTTGTGGATGGCAAATAGAAGCCAAAGGAGAGCACTGACCTATGTGTACTGAAATTTTGTGTTTTGCCAGTATGTAAAAATGAAACAAGTACAGTCAGTTCGGGGAGACATCTCTATAATAGAGGGATGACTAAGAGAAAGGCATTTGCTGGTTCTTTTCCCATTTTTCCACCACAGTGCTGGTGCTCTGGGCAGCTATTTGCTCAGGCCCTGGGCTCTGCTCTTTAATCACTGGTGGAGCTCAACCATGTCTGAGTTCATACTGCATGAACCCAGCCTCCTCCTCCTTCTCCTCATCCCCTTCCCCTCCCCCTCCTCCTAGATTTTGGCTCGAAGAAAAACAGAGGTTACTACGTTACCCATGTGTTGTTCAATACAGTTAATTTAACTCAAGTATCCACTTATAGTTATTACAAGTCATTTGCTCAACTGTACCTAACTCAACCCACTTGTGGCTAGTTCAACCCCCAAACACCCATTTCCCTGAACAAATGTGGCTTCCCTGGGACATTTCATACCCATCGCCCCATATTTCAAAAATCTGTGGACAAAATAGTAACATATATTATGTCTAAATGACGTTCTTTAAATAATGATAGTATTCGATTTGATTTGACCTGTTGTACTCAAGATGATTTTTAAACGTTTTTTAAACATTCCTAGACAATTCATTTTCAAAATTAAAAAAATTATATATAATCTATCTTATTATCTATTGTACATATCAGAATGAAGCAGCTGGTAAGAAGCGCTGGCATGAGATCCCTTCAGCAGCACCACCTCGGCTCCCTGGCATGCAGGGTCCCGGGCACTCTGCAGAATGCCACAATTGGGCGGATGGGCTTGGAGACTCTGGGGTTCCGACCTCAGGATCAGGCACTTTCCTCTGTCGAAATACATGTCCACTTGAAATAAACCCCCTTCTGTTCTAGAGCGAGGACTTTGCAAGCTGAACGGGAAACTCTGTGACAGCCGCGAGTGCAGACGAGACCCCGAGTCCCAGTCGTGCGCATGCGCAGAGGGCTACGCGCAGAGCCTAGACCGGAAGTCGTGCGAAGGTAACGCGCGTCCCTGAGGAGGCCGGGAGGGCGCGCTCCGAGGAGGCTGGGCGTCTGGGCCGTCCGGCGCCCTCCAGCGCCACCCAGCGCCACCCAGCGCCACCCAGCTCCCAAAAGGAAACCAACCTTAAGCCCAATCACTTCTTTCCCAAGAGAACAATTCTTTTTCATTATATATGTATATATTTAAGACTTTCATAATTCTTTCAGGACTTTTTATGACCTATGTTCCTAGATCAAACACTCTAGAGTCTGCTTTGGAGGTGCTATGTGTAGACTGGTATGCTCTGAGTGAATTGTATGTATCTCTTTGTGTTTGACTTTGCAAACTTTCAGGATAGACAAGTTTTTAGGAGACTGATTTCATAGCTACCATTAGATTCTCAGAGAATATACTCCACATCTTATCCCATGAAGACCTAAAAACCTTGGGAAGCTGAAGCAGATGGCTGTCTAGGGCTCCTGTTTTGCAAGTCCAGGTCCAATTTAATGAAAGAGAAATAGTGCACCCTTTCACCAAGAAGGTACAGTGATTTAGTGGTGAAAAAAAAAAAATTTAGGGGCTGCACTAGTTGGGGTGAGTCCTCAGGTTGGTCTAACATCTGCCTGTTAATGATAGACCCCTGCTTAGGTAGGACTAGTGGGCAAAGACTGAGCAAGCTGCTGAGCAGTGTGTGCACATCGAGGGACAGGCCTTAGTCTCGAGAAAGGTAAAACAGGGCAGGAAATGGCCTAAATTGTTTAAGAACTTCCAATAGTTACTAATTGGAAGGACATGCTACTGCTCTCCAAGGAGTACACATATAGTAGTACCTTTTTTCTTTCTTTTCTTTTCTTTTTTTTTTTTTTTTTTTTTTTTTGTTTTTTTGTGTGTTTTTTTTTTTCCAGAACCGGGGATTGAACTCAGGCCCTTGCACTTGCCAGAGAACCGCTTATTCTACTGCACCATCTCCCCAGCCCCAGTAGTCCCTTTTTAAAATGACAGTTCTAGTATGCAAATGTTGAACATACTGTGGAAACTGGCAGACTAGAAATGGCTTTTATGAACATTGAACTTCCCCCCTTTTCTGAGAATTGGTAATGTAGCCTCTCCATAGTCTGTTACAGCTTATACCAGTGTAACATACTCTACTCTGGGCTCATTAGTAAGATAACAATTTATTTAAAAAAAAATAACCATCTGGTTATGCTTTGCTGTTGTCATTGTGCAGATGTCAACGAATGTGCCTTACAGAACCATGGCTGTACTCTTGGGTGCAAAAACACCCCTGGGTCATATTATTGCACATGCCCTGCAGGATTCGTTCTGCTACCTGATGGGAAACGGTGTCATGGTAAGTTGTAGCAGCAAAGAATTATCATATTATTTTTCTTTATTTTTCTCAGATGACTGCAGTCAACGTTGTGGTCTACAGTAAAAAGTGTGCATCAGAATTTCTTTGGAGTTTTTTTGTCTGTTTGCTTTTTTTTTTTTTTGATGGAACTAGGGATTGAACTCAGGCCCTTGCGCTTGCCAGGCAAGTGCTTATTCCACTGAGCCATCTTCCTGGCCCTTTTTGTTTGCTTTTAAAAATATGGATAACCAGGCTGCACTGCAGACCTACTAAAAACCTCTGTGCTTAGGAAATATGTACAGAGTCCACCCCAAAAATCTATATGCACTTCAGGAAAAGACAGATAATAAATATATAGAAGCTAATGACCACTACTTGGAGCACCTTTTGTAACTGTAGAGGTCTAAGTTAACTTGTATTAATCTCGTGATGTCTCAATAAATTTAGTTTTAAAATATTTACATACATTTATCTTTGCTGAAATATATCTATATTTTTGTGAAATATATGAATATGTGTAGTCCCATCTTTGTACTCATATTACCTTATGTTTCATTGACTATCTCTAAAAGGTAAACATATAAAAATCATAACACATTATCATATCAAAAAATCTAAGGATAATTCTCTACCATCACTTAATGCCCAATTAGTTTTCGGGTACAGCCACAATGGTGTTACCACACCTCAACAGTTAATAGTAATTTCTTTCTCTTTCTTTTTTTTTTTTGGCCAACTCAGCCCACCCTGAGGGCAGGGCTGGCATGGCATGTGGTGCTGGGAATCGAACTGTGGCCCCCTGCGCCTGCCTTGGCTTGCCTAAGCAAGCTATTTAGACCACTGAGCTATCTCCCCAGCCCAATGTTAATTTCTCAATCACATCAACTAGTCAATTTTCAGATTTCTCTTATTATCTTAAAAAGTTTTTTAAAAAATAATTGATTTAAGTATTCAAATAAGCTCTCTGTGTTAATTTTATGTATCTTTTCTTTTATGAGTTCTCCTTCCTCTTTTTTTCCCTTGGGCAAATACTTGTTGAATTAACTGTTTTTTTCTCCCACAGAGTTTCTCAGTTTCTGGATTTTACTAGTCACACCACTGTCATGTCTTTGTCTTTTCTGAAAGCTTGTAGTTGAATCTGTAAGCTTGATCAGATTCAGCTTTGACTTTTTTTTTTTTTTTTTTTTTTTTTGCAATTATACCTCATAGATGTGTTTGTACTTCCATGGAACGATGGATAATGTCTTGTATTTTTTTCTCTTTGGTCAAGCTCAGCTTGGTCAGTGTGTTCATTTGTGCTTTGTAAAGTTTTCTAACGATCATTTCCTAAACTATTATGTCATCAAGAGTTTCAAGTGGTAATAGTCTTTGACACTTTCCTTGTTACCTGGTAGGACATACTTTGCAGGCTCATGGCATTCATGTTGTATTCTGGACCTGAAATCAGCAGTTTCCCAAGGCGCGCTGCTTCCTTCTAATAACAAATTACATGTAGAGGGTATTATTTCCAGCCTCTGGGGATGTCAACACTAGTAATATACTTATTAAAAAGAAAATATATTATCAATTTATGTGTCTATTCCCAGTGCAAATTTATGATTATATTTTCAGATTACACTCTGATAGCTATCTTATTGAATGTACTAACATAGATAAATGCAATTGAATGTTTAAAATCATGTTTGTTATTTTGTCCCACTTTAAAGATGATGGAGAATAGGTCAGTCCAGATATTATCTGTGCTTATGAAACAAGTCAGGCATATTGAAATGAATGAATGATAATAAGTTTCTTGGCAGTAACCCACCAGCTTTGTGCCTATCTGTAAAACTTGCTCCTCTCCTAGTCCCATGTGTTGGCCTCTTGGTAAATATGCCATGAAGAGGGCAGGGTATAAATGTACCAAGCATGACACACGTAGTCTCACTTGATTCTCAAAACCTCTAGAACTTTTATGACACATATTTTACATTTACATCTTTGATTTACCTGGAATTCATTTTGCTGGATGGTATAGAGTAGGGATTTAATTTTTCCTGAAATCATTATTTGATTATTTGTATACCATTTTTGGATGATCTTTCACATGCTCATCTATTTAAAATAACACCTTATGCACATTCTTAGGCATATTTGAGCTTTTTCTCATCTGAGCTTTCTATCCTCTTCTGTTACCTTCTGTCTATTCCTGAATCCCTCCCCTACTATTTTAATGATCACTTGTTATTATGAAGTTATGAGAATTTGTATTTGATCTCTCATACATGTTAACATCATTTCTCTTCCTACCTCTAACCACAAATACAGAACATCCTTAGTTTTCTTTTTTAACAAATGTGTTTTGTTCCACAGATGAACTTAATCATTGTTCGCTTAAGTTCTGTTGAAAATATTTTGAAATTTTGGTGATGAATAATGAAAAATTTTATTTGAAATAAAGAAAGTTCAAAAGGAAGCAGAGGCATTTTCAAAAATCAGAGCTCTTTAATGTTCTTTAATTTGAATTTTTCTTCTCTTTTATATCATTATTACCATAGCTTTCTATGAATATCTTTAACTTCTTTCAACTTTTTATTAGCAGCCAATTATAGTACATTTCCATCAATCTGACTTAACACAAATCTTGGCCTTGTCAGAATTAGTTTCCTGCCCAAGAAGCGCATCTGATTGCAGCCATGACTGTGTTCTGACATCAGATGGTCCCCAGTGTTTCTGTCCTGAAGGCTCTGTGCTCAAGCCAGATGGAAAAACATGTAGGGGTGAGTTTATTTGCCTTTTGTTAGTTTAAAAATGCACATTTTCTAAGTGACACATACAACTTGATCTTATTGCCAAAGAGAGTAGTTTCCAGTATTACACATTAAAAGATAATTTATTCAATTGATGAACATACAGATTTAAATTGAATTTCTGTTTTAAGAAAGCTTGGTGAAGTGATATTGAGCAGAGGCTTTTAAGTGACAGCCTCAGAGCAGCATTATCAGTCATTAGCAGGGTGATTTGGACTGGACACTGGACCTGTCTTAGTCTGCTTCCTCATCTATGGATTGAATTGACCCTCCTAGATTGAATGAAGCAGCAGATGCAGAGAGCTTCACCTGTTGCTTGCGCTAATAAATACCTACTTTGTCTTCATGTACTTGAACACATATAAGTGTGGCTGTAACTCAAAATCAGCAGAAGAATGTTGGGTAGCTTTTCAATTTTCTAATTTTAAAAAAAGTAAAAAAGAAATGTTGCCCAAATCTAGAGTCAAAAATACTTCAAATTAAGATCTTTAAAAATAAAAATGAACAAAGAAGTCAAGAGTCTGTTAAATGTGGGAGAGAAAAACACACAGCATTCATGAGGAAGAGGGAGAACAGCTGTCAAGCTCGTCAAAATGTGTTTCTCCAGCAAGCTGCCATGCTTCTTGAGTTCAGCACAATGTAAAAGATTAGCATCCAAGATTTGGGCTTTTAAGGAAGGGGGCGCTATGACATTTTGCTCTAATCTCTGAAAAATCAACTCAATTGCAGCAGTAAGAATGGTTGTAGAGATAGCTTTAAAATTCAACGTGTCGTTGGTCTAGCATAGCACTTCAAAGGGAAATTCTTGTATCTTCAATGCAGAATGTCATCACCAAGCATCTGCTTTCTCTAGGCTGCTCGTCACCTGATAATGGCGGCTGTAGCCAGCGCTGTGTCCCACTCAGCCCAGTGTCCTGGGAGTGTGGCTGCTTTCCTGGGTATGACCTACAACTGGACCGGAAAAGCTGTGCAGCTTCAGGTCAGTGCTGTGGTTGTCTGAAACATTCCCCTGAGGAAAAACATCACAAAAAGACAACATTTCACTTAGAATGTCGAATTGAATTGCTTTTGCTTCTTGTTAGAAAGTCTGATTTTTTTTTCTGAAAGGAGAAATATGCCCAGTGAATATAAATACTATAAGTAATTATAACATCAATAAAAACATATTTTTGAGGAATGGTTCTCAGTTAGCTAGTATACACAAAAGATTTTCCATAATATCAAGTATGGCATTTTAAGTAGATGAGAAAGCTGTGGCCAGAATATTCTTAAAACTATAGCTAAGAAGTGTTTAAGAAATATGTATTGATTGATTTGATTTTTATCATTTTGGTGAATGCAATACTTTGACAAGTTCTGTCCTTTTCATGTCAAAATTTAATATGAAGTTGTATCCTTCAGCTATTTTTAATAGCCTTGGAAATCTTAGATTTATACCAAATTGATTCAGTCTCTCTTAAAAATTCATTATGCTGAGAAACTGGGATGTCATGGATAGATTTCCCTAGATGCCAGTAGTCTTAACTGTGTAAGGCTGAGTTCGTAGCATAATCTGAGTCATGGAGGTGATCAGGGATTTTATTATAAACTCAAATAATCCTTCCTTCCTATTGGAAATCTCAGGATGGGGAAACTGTTTCTTTAGGCATGAATTCAGTGTTTATGTAGGGAGGCCACAGACTCAAGACCTACATCATTTGGCAGTGGTTTTGACTATTTGACGTATCCCTTTGTGTAAGTAATTTGTATTTTAGAAGGAAACATGTAGAAAGAGATGAATCTAATATGAAATTCTGGCCATATGTCACCTCATGAAAGAGGAAGTATTCTTGCCTGTCTTTGCCTATACTGTACTGGGGACTATTTAATAAAACTAGTACTGCAGAAACCAAAGATGAGGCTGCAATGAAAGGGAAGAGTCAGAGTGTTTCTTGGGTTCCAAGGCATGTTTTAAACATTGCTGTTTTTGATATTTGGTTAGGTCCACAACCGTTTTTGCTCTTTGCTAATTCTCAAGATATTCGACACATGCACTTTGATGGGACAGATTATGGAATCCTGCTCAGTCAGCAGATGGGAATGGTTTTTGCACTAGATTACGACCCAGTGGAAAATAAGGTAAGGTTCTGTGGCCTGAACAGATGTGGGCATGCTACAAGGACAGAACAGAGGGTTTTAGCCTAACACGTGACCCAGATGACCTGAAAATCCTCTGCTAAGCCCAGAATGATTAGACCCAGAATGAGGTAGATACAGGCACTGGAACATCGTTTGAAACATTTCAAGAGCTTTGCTGTTCTCGGAACACTCCTTGGTCCTGCTGTAATCATTCTTTGTGTTGGGAATGGTTATGGAGGATCCTCAGGTTAATTTTTTCTCCGGTGATAAGAATGAGAGACTAGCATAGTACTGTGCACGTGGAGGGGACTTCCTAGGTCAGGTTTTGATGCTTTGTTAGTAGTGGGAGTAGTGAGAGGCTGGGCTTTGGTCATGTAAAGTATGGATATACTATTGGCTTTTCATTGACATATTTAGAGAGGGAAGTCAATGAGCTCTCAACCATGAAAATTAGCAAACATAGATTTTATGATTCATTTGGGAATGGCAGTCTAAGCTGTAACATTTTTACAGAATAATTTTGTGATGTTTTAAAACATAACTTAAGAAGTTCTATATTACTGAGGCAGCCAGCTGACCAGTTGGTCTTTCATTTCATAGTTGTATTTGTTCTAGGTAAAGGTGCTAAGAATGATGTTAAAATTTCTTTTATAGATTAATCACCTGTAATGATAATTTCCATAGTTATAAGTCCCCTTCCATAATTATTTAGTTACTCCAGGTCATTTATTAATTTGTAGAATTTTAAACTCTGAGTTATTGGTTTTATTTTCTTATTTGAAGCTGTCTTGTAAATGGCCAAAACAGACTAAATGAAGCAAATTAAGTTGGTTTAATAGCTATGGAATCATAGCTACACATTATTATTCTCACAAATGAAAGATTTATAGTTGAATACTAGCAAGGGTTAGTTTTCTCCTAAACTGAATCTATATGGGTCCACAGAACAGTTACATTGACAGTTAACAATTCAAGATTCATCTGTTGTTCCTTTTTTTTTTTTTTTTTTTTTCCTGTGCAGTCAGTATTTCCACAAATAGAGACCTAGGTTGAACTTGAAGTTGAGTGGCTGTTTTTAATTTGTCTAATTAATGTTCTCACTTGCTTTTTACTCAGACTGTGGTCTTTGGCCCAGCAGCAGCAGCATGGCCAGGAGCTTGTTAGAACTGCAGACTCCCAGGCTCCAGCCTGGCCACTGCAGTGAATCCGCTTCTTAGCAAGGGTCCCAGTGGGTTCATACACACATTAGAGATTCAGAACGACAGCCCTATGGAGTTTTTTCATAGGGAAGCATCCATATTTGTATTTATAAAATATAACTTTTCTATTTATCTAGAAAGAGGAACCCATTATTTAATGAGCTACTATTTTATGAGCACTGTCATCATCAATTAACAGGCTCATGAGGTTTGATTATAATGTATAGTATGTTTTTTATTTTAATTTTTTAATAGATTGCAAATTGAAAATAAATTATTTACAAACATAAATGAATATAACAATAAAAATTGTCCAAAATAAAAATGAAGAAAGAATTTACAGATCAGTCATAATAGTTCACTGTGTCAAAACCAAGAAACTTATATTCATATAATTAGAATTCTCAAAGTAGAAAGGAGTAGGCAATAATATTTAAAGATTTAAAATTTCTGAATTTAGTTCAACTTATAATACTATATTTCCAAGAAAAAGGAACCTTTTGCACAAGAAATTAAAATAAAATCATACCAAGATACACAAAAATGAAATTGTCCAAAACTTATTGTAAAGAAAAAATCATTAAAGTATATACATAAATAATATTAGCTATGGAATAACAAAATTAAATAGCACCTTAGTCCACACTAGAAATAAAAAAAGGACCAAGTGTGTAAGAAACTAGACTAATTAAAGGACTGAAAGAAAATAAAAGATCACTCCTCTATAGTGTGTGTTTAAATTTTTAAAACTTTATTACAGTAAAAGATACATTGCCGGTCACAACCCATGCAGCTTTCGATGGTCCTGGGGGAAAATGGCAAAGGGGTGAAGGGAAGGTGAGAGACAAAGCTGAAGTCAGCTGGAGTCCTCTCTCTCCTGATAGGAGAATAAGAACCGAACTACCACCATAAGGGTATTTGTACTTTGACAAAGTGTCGCTAGATACAAGGTTGCCTAGCACCTAATGACTGGAATTGTCTCAGGAAAGATGATTTTCTCAAGACTGGAAATACTTCCAGCTTCAACCACTCACCACAATTGCCATTAAGACCACTCAGAATATTCCCCTTCACTTTGAGCACACTTACGCCATCCTGCCTGCTGCTTTCTGAAGCAGTTCTGGAAGTCTTCTTTTGTAAGTGTCTTTAGTTACACAGTTAGGGCTGCCTCCATGGCCTGAATCCATTTGAAACGTTTACCTGTCACGGTCATTTTGACATTGAGAAAAGCCAGAAGTTGTACAGTGCTAGAGCTGGTGAATAAGGTGCGTAGGGACATGGCCACATGTTTTTAGGAGTCTGTCTTTCTGTTGGGTGGCACTTGGCAGCAGCATTCACTGTATTGTTTATCACATCTTGTCAAGACACTCAGAAAAGAAGACTTGCACAGCTTGTTCAGAAAGTGGAAAGAAGTGTGAGGTCAGTATGTCCAAAGTGTGTGTGTGTGTGTGTGTGTGTGTGTGTGTGTGTGTGCGTGCATGTGTATGTGTGTGGAGGATACTTTGAGGAAGATTCATGGCGATGTGCCTTTTAAATTAAAAAAAAAATTTAATTTAATCATCCGCTGTATTTTTCATCACCCCTTGTATGTACATTTATGTAATCACAGTTAAAATTACACAATTGTTATCATGAAATTATTAGCTAACTCCATATTTTTTAACACTTTCCTAAATTCTCACACTGCAAAGCCTGATAACTTTATTTATATAGTTGTAGAATGGAGGCTAAGAGACTTCGCTGAGACCCAAGCAAATAAGGATCAAAACCATGAGAGCAGCCCATTCCTCTGCCTTGCCCTGCAGCAGTATATTAATGGACTTCAAGAGTGGAAGACATAGCCCAGTTTGCAGTTCTTATTAAATTGCAAAGCATTTCCCCATTTAACTGTGGAAGCCACTAGGGTTCAAGTACAAAGTCTATATCATTGACCAATGACCAGAAATTAATAAAGGATGAATAGAAGTATGTACCAGGGACTGTGGATATATCATGATATAATATGCATGTTGAACCAGATGTATTATCCTTATTTTTACCAATGAGAAAACTAAGAGTCTGAAACAGTAACTTGCTTAGGGTTAGATTCATCTGGAAGCACGTAGTTGGGGTTTAATTGCAGATGTGTCTCTAGGGCCATGCTCTTAAAAGTTACACTGGATGACCTGAAGACTCACTGATCCCATTTGTATGTATTCCATTAATTTTTGTGAAGCAATCAGAAATGTCTGTCTTCTTTGTAGATATATTTTGCCCATACAGCCCTGAAGTGGATAGAGAGAGCTAATATGGATGGGTCCCAGCGAGAAAGGCTTATTGAGGAAGGAATAGATGTACCAGAAGGTCTTGCTGTGGACTGGATTGGCCGTAGAGTCTACTGGACAGACAGAGGGTATGTTTTCTCCTCCAACCTTGATGCCACATGGGATGGAAGTGATGAATAGGTAATGTTACTGGCCTTATCTACAGTTCAAACACAGAAAAATTATGCTGAGTATGAGGCTAGGATTGGATGAGAGAGGTTCTCTTGCTACCCACACTTCCCCTACTCCTCTGTGCCACCCAGTGAGATGTTATTTTTGTCAAGATTGGATCCTTATCTGTGGGACAATTTCATTGACCAAGAAGTTAGCATGTACTTGTGCAGGCCAGGCTGCTATTACTAGAGAAACCCAAAGCCTGTCTGTAATCATCCAGTAAGTGCTGACTGAGCATCTGCCTCTGTCTCCCAGGTAAGATGGGAGATACAGAGGAGCCCAGGTGAGTCTCATCCTTGGAATCAGCCCTTGGTATAGCTGGGGAAGTAAGGTCAATTTCCCAGCCAAGAATGAACATACATTCTCAGTCTAAATATCAGTACAAGGAGTGTCAGAAGGCTGTGCACAGGACACTGCCAAGTGGAGGGTGCATGCTCCCGAAGGGGTCTCTAGGAGGGGCTTCAGGGATCACTTTACAGGTGAACAACATGAGGCCCAGACAGGCTAAGTTAGTCCAGCTTACACAGCATACAAGGGACACATTTTGAGCTAGAGTCCACAGGTTGGCTCTTGCTGAGCAAGCATGAAGAGGAAAGGACACAGGGCTGGGAAGACACTGATGGGGAACAGGCCAGGGCTGGCCTACTTTCGCTTTGGTGGGAATCAGCAGAACCAGAGTGAAGTCAAGTGCTCCTGTCCTTAAGGCAGCTGTTCTTCAGGGCTATGAGGAGATGTGGTACAGGTGGGGATGAGCCTAGGACAAGGGTGGGGGAGAGGTGGGTCTGTGATGGAGTGGCTGTGCCCCCTGATGCTGAAGGACTCACGTCCTTGCTCCTGCAGCAGAACCACAACCCAGAGCCAGTGGTAGATAAACTGAGAGGCCGTGTGTTCAGTATCCTGGCTCTGAGCTCTCAAAGGCCAGAAAGTAAAGTAGTAACCATCCAGACATTGGGAACTTCCTTGTTAAAGTAACAGAAGACAGAGATGACAGGGACTGCACCTGTTAATACAGAGAGAAAACTCTCAGGGACTTGGTTTACTTGCTTGAATGCAGGATTTCTGTGTTCCAGAAAAAATCTCTTCTAGTTTGGATCACTGATAGGAGCCAGATGCAATGAAATCTCTTCTAGTTTGGATCACTGATAGGAGCCAGATGCAATGGTGTGCGGGGTGCAGTTATTATTAAAATGCCATATTTCTTTCACTCATTAACTTTTTCATTTAACTGTACTTTCATTCCTTTATTTTTTTCCATAATTTTACTGAGAAACAAATAGCAATGAGACAGTTTCAAAACAAATTGGTAGGACAGATTCAATAATTAACACATTGCATACATACTTCCTAGTGGTTAATTGCTGTACAAGATGTGGACATGATATCCTATTTACAAACACTATTAGAACAAATCCCTCTATTCATTAAGAGAATGTAACTATATATCTATCCTAACCATTTTGAATACACAGATACAAAATGGATATTCATCTGTATCCCCTTTTTTTGTTTAGTTCCATTATTTGAATATTATAGGTGTGTAAACTCATCAAAATATTCTAAAACAGTCCAGTGGTCCATATAGTATTGGGTCTTCCTCTTGACTGGCAATGTCAGAAATTGTTGACCTGTGTCCCCTACAGCTCAACATAACAGCATGGCTTTACTTCTTATACTTCGATTTTATACTTTTCTGCTGGATGGTTAAGACCAAGGTAAAGCAGGACCTATGCAACAAGAGTTGTAGCTTTTGGGTCTGATAAGGTCAGTGAAATCCCCTCAAGATTTATCCTGATATCCTGTACCTCAGATTGTAGAAAATTTGTCAGTGTCAGCCATGTGGATGAGTCACAGCCATTGCTTGGCCAATGTGCTCTCTGTGAAAGCCTGAGAGAACGTTTTCTCTCAATGTGACTCTTCTTAGGCACACTCTACATCACAGATCACTTTCCTCTTTGGCCCCATAATCGCCCTGATCAGAAAATTTGGGACATTACCGAGTTACATGATGTTACAGTACAAGTTCTCATATGTCCTGAGTCTTAATTGATCTTGGAAGGCTAGGGCAAAAATGTTGGCTTTCCTTGTGGCCCTCCTTTTTCTCTAATTTTGGTCTGCAAACTTAGGTTGTTAACCCTCCAGAAGAGAAGTTTATTATTATTACCATACAACGTAGGCTGTTAAGCTTAACCTCACTATCTGTCTGAATATCAAACATCTTAGGCATAACATGGAACAGGTATTTTTTTATCAAGTATTGAAGTGTTGAACTTTAAGTCCCTACAGAATATGATGAAAAAACATTTAAAAATTAGAGTATATTTTTAAAAATAGGCGTAAAGAATTATATACTTTTTATGTTTACACATAAGTGCAAAAATCTCACCATATACAACCTTGAAGCAGGACAGTCCCACAATATTCCTTTTCCTGTCTATTGCCTTCATTCACCAACCCCTTCTTTTTGAGCAATCATCTACCTGAGAGACAGCACAGCAGCAACTGGCATGTCATGACAAGCAGCCCGTATTCAGAAGACCAGAATGACAGGCACTCCAAGCATGAAACTACTATTACAGATTACCATCTGCAGTGCAGTTGCTTAGTTCACAGGTATCAGTAT